CTTGGCTTTGCTATGGTCGTTTTGTTCTCTAATCTGTGTAAAGCTTTTTAACCTCAAGCCCAATAATGCAACTTATTCCAACATCCCTGTCAACCCATTAATAATCACTTCACAAGTCCTTTTCCTTTCTTTCTTTCTCTCTCTCTCTCTCTCTCTCTCTCTCTAGGAGGAGCTCTTGAGATGCCATTGTTATGCCCAAACCTTATCAGTCACAGCTCACAAGAATGAAAGTTTAGAGCTAAAAGGGTGAAGTGGATTAAGTTAGAAGTAGAAGGCTTTGGTAAATAATCCTTTCTAGAGCTGATAAAGGGTCATTTTCTTTACTTTATAAATACACACACCTCTTTCGCTACCTTACTTCCATTTCTTCTTCTCCTCCTCCTCCCCTAATCTTTGAGGGATACAAAGGCTGTGTGGAGAGATTTCTTTTTGTTCTGTGTTGGAAAGTTCCTTCTCCAAACAGCTCTTTTCCTTATCAGGTTAGTGATCAAAATCTCTGTCTCTTAAACCAACAAAATAAAGCTTAGATTCAGCTTCTGATTCTCTTGCTTCTTCCTCCACCTGTAAATCCATGAAAATGGCCCTGAAAATCTTCTTCTCTTTGATTCCATCTCTTAAGGAATCAACAGTTGTTGGGAAATGGAGATTTGGGTTTTGATTTTGATGAGTGATCTGTTTGGAATTGATTTAGGTAAGCTGCAAATAAGAAGAGAGGATGTCAGACTCACCTCAGAGGAAGATGGGAAGAGGAAAGATTGAGATTAAGAGGATCGAAAATACAACAAATCGTCAAGTCACTTTCTGTAAGAGACGAAATGGGCTGCTTAAAAAAGCTTATGAACTTTCTGTTCTCTGTGATGCCGAAGTTGCTCTCATCGTTTTCTCAAGCCGCGGTCGCCTCTATGAGTATGCTAACAACAGGTAAACACAAACACTATCTACTTTTTTTACATTGTTTTCTTCAAATCTTCCTTCGTGTAACTCATTTTGGGAATCTGGGTTATGTTGAGAATATATTCATTAACTTTACTAAATTTCTTGTTCCTTGAGCTGTTTTTATAGTTGTATGAGGTTGTGGGGATTGTTTTTGCTATTATTGTATCACTTTGCTTGTTCTTGGTATGGTGGATACATAGATCTGGTGTAAGAGATGGAAAGATTGAAAGGAGTAAGCGTTTTGGTAAACTTATGGAGGTCTCTCAGGACACACCTCTTTACATTACCTTACCTTACCTTACCTTACCTTACCTTACCTTACCCCTTCCTCCATTGTTTAAAGCTTCTGTTTCTCTCTCTGTCTCTATATGTCATCTCATGAGTCCAATCCCCTTCATCTCCTTGACATTTCCTTAATAGAAACGTCCATGTTGGATAATAAGAAAGGGAAAGTACAGTTTCAAAACTTTGTCAAAACACCATATACAATAATAAGCTTATTAGGGTTTCAAAGTTTGTCAAAACTTGTGGGTTTCCTTGAAACATGCTAAAACACCCTTTTCCAACCAATCACCTCCAACTCAAGGATTGAACTGCCTAATTGTTGGTTTCCATTCAAACCCTAAAATACATTGGGATTTGTCCTGATTAGTAATGGGTAATCCTTAGATTAAACATGTATTAACAGAGAGAGAGAGAGAGGGGAAAAGGTGTAGCTTTTTCTACCACAAACAAAGTGAGCCAATAGGAAGTCAAAAACTTTACACAAGTCTTAGGTTTGTCTGCATTGTTTGGGAAATGGGGTGTCTGGTTTTAGGGTTTGGGTTCTGATTTTTGGTGTAGGGCTTCAAGAATCTTTGGTCACGTCACTCAAGATTTTTCAGTTTTCAGCCTCCCTGACAAACAAAGGGTTTCTGTCACAATTACTAAAACGGGTTCCTTCCCGTTTCAGATTCAATTCAATTTCATGTCCCTCCCACCAATTTTCTTTTCAAACCATGTTCATCTCTCACTCTCTCTCTCTCTCTCTCCTCTTCTCTCTCTTGAACTCTAAACCAGAAGAGCAGACAAGAGAAAGGGTCATCCCATGGAAGAAGAAACTAAACTGGGCTTCTTAAATTTACCACAAAGTTTGAATCTTTGAAGGGTATTTTTAGAGAGAGAGAGAGAGAGATTAGGGTAGGGAAACTGGTTGAGCCAAGCCAGTGGGAGGGCATGGGCATTTATCTTCAGTAGGGCACAGCTTGGACAGCCACTGATTGAAACGGACGGCTATGATGTACACAGTGTTAGAGACAAAAGGCTTTACCGCCATTTTTTTTTTTTTTGTTTTGGAAGGAGAAAAATCTGGTTTTTACACTGTATCGAGTTGGATAAGAGGGTGGAATTAAGCTGATTGTCCATTGAGTAAAGAGATCAATGACAGTTGGCAAATTCTGGTCCGTCGATTGGATTAAGCCAATCATAAAGCGAGATCTGTGCCAGCATGTCTCAGACAGCCAATCACCAGCTCGACGAAATTAAGGTATCAGTGCATCGGTAAAGGAAACCATGGATATATGCTTCAAAATAATGATATTTAAATGCGGGAGAGAACCTTTTTTGTTGTACATTCCGTCACATCATTGGGAGCCATTTACCCTTTCAACTGATTTCTATCATTCATTTTGCCTTTTGTGGGGTTTCGTATAGGATTCATTTAACTAAGCGAGTTGGGTTAATGTGACACATAAAAATGTTCCTTTTTGTGGATCAAAAACATGTCTCAATGCTTTGTTTGTTTGGTTGTTTTTTAGTTCTCTCCATCTAAAAAATTATCATAATTTTATTTTAATCAACGTGTATAATTAAGGAACCCTAATCAACATGCTATGGTGTTAATTTAGTTTATATTTTGGTTAATTACAGTGTGAAGGCAACCATTGATAGATACAAGAAAGCATCCTCAGATTCCTCAAACACTGGATCTACTTCTGAAGCTAACACTCAGGTACACTTCGATTTCACTAAATTTAAAGAGGAATTGTTGAAGGGAAATGGTAATACAAGATTAAAAAACTCACTATTGAATGAGATTCAACCCAGTTTTACCAACAAGAAGCTGCCAAACTTCGAGTTCAGATTGGTAACTTGCAGAATTCAAACAGGTACTTTGAAGAAAATTTATGAACATTTCCATTAATTCAAGATTTTAAAGCTTCATCATCAGAAGAATGTTGTTTCCAGGAACATGCTGGGTGAGTCTCTAAGTTCTTTGAGTGTAAAAGATCTGAAAAGCCTCGAGAGCAAACTTGAGAAAGGAATCAGCAGGATTAGGTCCAAAAAGGTTGCTTTTCTTCCTTGTTTCTCAAATAACTTAGTCTCAAAATAAGTAGCTAACATTTCTCGGTGCTCTCTCTCTCTCTCTCCCAGAATGAACTCCTCTTTGCTGAAATTGAGTATATGCGGAAAAGGGTAAGCTTTCATATCCCAATTTGATACTAATCCTTTGGGGAGAGCAGCTCGAAAGCCCTTGTTTTTTGGTCTTTTTATCAAACTCATAAAGAAAAGAACACCAAGTTAGCTATGTTTGGATGACCATCTATTGAAATCTTCAATGCAACCTAATTTCTAGCAAACTTGATGATCAATTTCAAGAAAAGGAATCAACTTTCCAAATGGGTTGGTTGAAAGTTTAATTTTTCCAAATGGGTTTCATTGATTTTCCTCTAAATCATAGAAAAAGATCAATCCTTTGAAATTTTGTTCTAGAAACTGTAAAGGGAAGCCCCTGGAGTGATTCTATGTTCTACAATTGAATGAAAAGCTTTGATCTTTGCAGGAAATTGATTTGCACAACAACAATCAGTTGCTTCGAGCAAAGGTCTCGTTCTTAAATCTCTCGATCTCTCTCTGATATGAGCAATTAAGATTCAAACTATGGAAATGTGTGCAGATTGCTGAGAGTGAAAGAAATGCCAACATGATGGGAGGAGAATTCGAGCTGATGCAATCTCATCCCTACGATCCCCGAGACTTCTTCCAAGTGAACGGCTTACAACATAATCACCAGTATCCACGCCAAGACAACATGGCTCTTCAATTAGTTTAAGGTTCTTGTGTTGTCTTGTTTGTTTTACAGTTAAATGAAGCCATTCTCTCTGTATCTAACAAAATACCGACCGAACATTTCGCTGCAGTTAATAATAGTATGGTTTGAAGCTCTCTGGTTGGTGGATTATAAGGAGCGCCCCATCTCTGCTGATTGAAAGGTACTTGAAAGGAACTTGAAGATCATACCTCATCTATGCCTTAGCAAAGTCTTAGCTTCTGGACTCTAAAAAAAGACATATTCCAATATATAAATATATATATATATATATATATATATATATATGTATGTATGTATGTAATGTTGTTGTCTGGTATGCATCCAAAACATTAATAACCTATCTTATCTTTGTGTTAAAATCTATGTCTGTCATACAAACAACTAACATATTGTCTCATACTTCTGTCTTGTTTTCTGTTTCACTGTCTCAACTTTCTGTGATTCCTTATTTTGTTTCTAATTATGATGTAATGGCTGATTATTGAGAAGATTGAAACTTTTTAATTGATTACTTAGCTTAAGTGCAAGAGGGAAATAAGAGAACAATGATTGAAAGCTTTGTATGTTTTTTGGGTTTATTTATGGTTCGTACGTTACCGCCTAAACCCACCACTACCAGATATTTTTCTTTTTGGGTTTTTCCTTTCGGGCTTCACTTCAAGGTTTTAAAACATGTCTACTAGGAAAAGGTTTCCAAACCCTTATGAAGAATGCTTTTGTTCCTCTCTCCAATTAACATAGGATCTCACAATCCACTCTTTCAAGATCCAGCGTCCTCACTGACACTCGTTCCCCCACTCCAATCAATGTGAAACCTCCCAACCCACCCCATTTTAGGATCTAGTGTTCTCGGGCACACAGTCTGGTGTCCATTCCTTTCGAGGCTCATCGTCGTTTTAATTCCGTACTGTTTGTTAAGAACTATATAAAAATTGTAATAAATACAACCCACTGTTTGGACAAGGTCCAGCTCAACTGATCGTTTCTAACATATTAGGTTTTCATTGATTGATTTGATTGATTTGCTTTAGGGTACATCATGAGAGATTTAGTTAAATCTCAAACGTCTAACACAAACACGAGCCATAAATTGAGAGCAAGCATGCCATGTTCTTGAGAAGAATGGCACACACCACCAAAACGTAAACAATTAAAGGGACATTAGAACTCTTCCAACAACTTATGCATAAACTCAACAAGTCCGATCGGTCGGATTTAAACTAGAGTTGAGCGAGTCGACGAATGTCGATTGGGTAGGCGTCGGAGGGACGTTGAGCGCTGTAAGCTCTTCTTCCAACAATGGTGTTGCCAGCCTCAGTTGGATGAAAGGCATCCCAAAATAGATGATCTTTTCTGTTAGGACATGGGGTTTGGAAAGGCAAACATGTTATTTGGCCATTGTTCCTCCCAATCCCACAGCACCCAGCATTTGTAACACTAAACCCTGCACCACCCAACAATTGAATCCTCAGGGACACCATAATAATGAGAAAACAAACTGGGAAGAAAGAGAGAGTTGAATGATACCAAAAGATGAAGGGCTGTTTATGATATCTTGGAAAATCCCATAAGAGTCAATGTAGATGAATCTCGCATCAGGCTGGTCTCTATTGAGTTGATCCACAAGCCCTTTCAGCCGGTTGTTGAACAACTGATTCGCAAAGTTGTACCTTTGGTTACAGGTTCTCCCATCAGGGCTATTCGCCAGTGCATTTGGACTGCACCCAATTTGGCCAACTCCAAATAGCACAAACTTCCTTGCCCCATTGTTGTACATTATCTAAACATAATAACCTTTATAAGAATGCGATCAAAGTCTCACATTGACTTAAAGAAAGCGATGTATAAAACTACTAACCGATAATTGTTGAGTATACTGTTGAATGAGGATTTGAGCGTATTGATCGGGGGTATATTGACGACTCGACGAGTAGATTTGGGGCATGAAATAGTTGTTAAGGTAATCATTGCTACCCAATCCAACAGAATATATACACTTGTTCAAGTAATCAGCAGCCGCATTTTGATCACCAAGAATGTTGACTATCTGTCTAACAGTGTTTTGGTGATTTCTCACTTGCCCACTGAAGCTTATCCGAGCCCCCTGCAAGAACACAACACCGCCCATGTCAAACTTCTAACAACAAAGATACATGAAGTGGGTGTGTAATAATAAAGAAAATTACCAACTGCTGGCCAGTTTCCTCTCTTATTCCAGCCGCTGCAGACGCATAGTTCACTCCTCTAAGTATGTCTCGGCCTCTGGTGTTGGAATAGGGAGGGATGTAGGTATTGAATCCCAATAACTCCGCTATAAGCCATAAAAAACAACAAAGTTATACACATTTCTTGATTACAGAGACTCGTTGTTGGAAAGGAAGCGGTGAATGTTTACCAATGACATCGACGGTGGTTTTGCCATTGGAGAATCTTCCAGTAGTGCCTTGGGGAAAGTCGATGCCATAAGGGAGGTAATTGGCGCGAGCCAGAGAAGAAAGGCGATTGTTATTGCCATTATCAACCAAAGAGTCGCCAAAAATGAAGTAGCAAGGAACTTGGGGTTGTTGCTGGGCGGTGCAGCACCAGAATGCAAGCACCGCAACAAGCATACCCCATAGCTGATTCCTTACAACCTTGCCGCCCATGGCCACTCTTGCACAAACAAGACTGGTAAGCTTGATTGTTTGGGAAGGTTGACGTGGAAGTGAGGTTGAAAAGGTGCAGAATAGTGTTTAAATAGAAGGGGGTGTTCAACTCCAATTAGGAATGGGTTTTACAGTTGAGGAAACGAAGACTAAGAGTTGGGCATTTAATTAGAGTGCGAAGCCAAAATCTTTATGTTTATATGAAGCACTTGTGCAACTGGTCCAGTTGGGTATGGGTGGAAATGTACTGAAAAAGGCATAGTTTTGATATCAAGTAAGATGAGGGGCGTCTGTCGGTGCCGGTGGCTGCTTGTCTTGACCATTCAAAGCTTTTGACAATCAAATGTGATTGTGAATTTGGACGTGGCGAAGCGAATAAATGTGGATAAAGGCAAAGTGGGTGAGAAAATTGAATGCTTGGGACTTGGGAGTTGGAGTCCATGCCTATTAACTTCCCCAATCAATTGCCAACCTTTGACAATCTACGCCTTTCTCATTTCACCGACATGTCGACACCAACATATCGCCATGTCCGTGTCCATACAAATACTTCAATTTCACTCCTTTAGCCATTTCCGCCCTCCAAGGGGGTGGATCCCGGCCTCGTCTACGACTCCAATTACATCGACTATCTCGATGACTACCTCTACAGCCTCAAAATGAACTCGATTGACCTTTCCTTCACGTGCCCTCCCACCTCACGACCTCAACTTATATTCATGGTTAAGGTAATCAATGTTCTTGTATGTTCACGTGGTTAGATAAAACTATATTAACTCAGGGTAAGAAAAATTGACGACTAATCACATTTACCTACGGTTCATTTGGAGGCATTTCAGGTTTACGGAATGTAAACATGATTCTACCAAACATCATACACTTATAAAATACAATCAGGAGACTATACCTCATTAAAGCAATAAACTGATAAACACAAGATTTTGGCATTCAACGAGCATGCAACCTTGGACAACACGTTTTTGACAAAATTTATTATTCGACCATTTTAATAAAATTTTAATTTGAAAGATTAAATTTAATCTTTATAGAGTTACAAAATTTGAAAATAAAATTATGGAACACTACGTTACTATTAAAAATTTAAATTAAACCAATAATATAATAAAAACTAATATTATATTTGGAAAAGGGAATTAGTATTAAAGAGGGAAAATGATTGGGAAAAGATTAGTCCTTTAAGCGAGGGATGGGGTGACGTGTTGGATAATGAGTGGCTTGTCGTATTCGGAACCATTTGTTCTGCTTCGGGACAGGGTAAAGCTTATTCTTTAAAATTATAATTATTAATAACATATAATTTGTGGGCCCGTCATCAGCGCCGTCCTCACGGCGTATAAGCCGACGAATGCGGCTAGTTTTAGCTTTACAAATACGCCTTCTTCTTTTCGGGATTCCCAATCTAATGATTCCATTTCGAATTTTTTAAGCTAATATTCCTCTTTCGGCTCGAATCGGCTTAGCTTCGGCGTGCAGGGCCATCTGGATTAAAAACATAATTATTATTCTGTTTCCTCACGTATTTCCAGCTATTATCAGATTTAAATAACAACATAATTTTGTGTAATTCCTTTACTTTCGATTAAAAACAAAATACTTATTTAAGAAAACATTTTTAAATACACCATAAAAGAAGCTACCATCATTTATGAAATAACAAAAATATTACCAAAATAAAATTAAAATTTATTTAAAACACTTAATTAATTTATTGTTAATAAAAACATCTCACTAAAAAAAAAAGAAAGACAATATTACAATATTTGGTAATGGGTTGGACAATTACAAATGGTATTGAAGCTAAATATGAGGCAGTGTGTCACTAACGACGCGGGCTCCCAAGGATAGATTGTGAGATATAGTGTCCTGGGTGAATTGTGAAATCTCGAATGGAGAGGATAACAAAACATTCATTATCCTCTTCCTAAGACTAAAAGAGGGTTAGAGGGACGTATTTTAAAACGCTGAAGGGAAGCATAGAAAGAAAAGAGTAAAGAAAACAATATCAACTAGCAGTGAACTTAAAGATATTAATGAACGAGTGAGGGGAAGTGATTAATAAAAACACAAAAAAAATCGTAAGCTTTGCCTTTTGAGTGACGCCATTTCTTTTTCTTTGTCCTATAAAGCCCATTCTTCCTTTCCTTTTCCCTCTCTCTCTCTCTCTCTCTCTCTCTCGTTCAACCATTTCCGTCCCCATGGCCGAAGAATTCCACGACTCCGACGTCATAATCGCCGACCACCGCCGCCTGTTCCACCCCTCCCTCGACTACGCCCACACCCAAATCCCCATCACAACTCATCGGAGCTCCAGAAACGACACCAACAGCAACAGCAAAGATTCCGCCGCCTCTCTCCCCGTCAAAATCCCAGAAACCGTTTACCGTTACAATTCCTCCGACATGGAGGAGGTGGACGAGGATTGGGACATTGAAGACAACATCGTACCCCCGCACCTCATCATCGGTCGTCGCGTAGCCGGAAAAATGGCTTTCTCCCTCTGCACCGGCAACGGTAGGACGCTCAAAGGAAGAGATTTAAGCCAAGTTCGAAATTCTATTCTCAAAATGACCGGATTCCTGGAAACTTGACCCCAAATTACTCCAAATCAATATTTGTAAAGAAGATTAATCAAAAAAAGGGAACCCATTTTTTCTTTAGAATAATTCATCATGTTCTTATTTTTACTACGGGGGTTGTGTAAAATTTTCATGGGAAACATGAAGGAATGCATGTTCACAGATTGGGTGGAGGTTCTGAGCATTGTTTAATTTATGTTTGGCAGTGTTCTTAAACACAAATAATGTTCTTTCTTTAAACCATAACTGATTTTGGACTGTCCCAACATCACCACCTACGCTTTCACGAGATGTTTCATTATTGCCTTGTCTTTTTCTCCCAATAATTCAACACTTTTTTCTTCTTCTTCTTTTTTAATTCTATTATTATATATATATATATATATATATATTAATTATCATGTTCTCATTATAATCCAAATTTTTAATGTTGGGTAGGACGTGATTGAAACCATACATATAATGTGACAAGAAAATATTAAATAACCTAATGTTTTAATTCCAAACATTATGTTTATTTGGTTCCAAAATTATTGAATAGAAAAACAAAAAAAGAATCGCTTAAAAACATCAATATTTTCTGACAACGAAGCCACGTGTAGAAATTGACCCGTCTTTCACTACATGTGTAAAAAAATTGTTTGGAAAGTGTCAGACATTGAGATTAATGATGTCGCTTAGATCACGGTGACCGATTCTATTAATTCTAGAGATTATAATATTTCTCTTTTAAGAAGACATATATAGATGTCTACGAAGATTGGAAAGGCTTCCACATTACCTATTTCATTCTCTATCTCAACAAAATTCTCTATTTATATCTGCAGAAGACTGGAGCAAGATTCTCCACTGAAAATTTGCAGAGGGCTAGTTAACCAAAAATAATTTTTTTATGTTTATTATTATTTGTAAATATAATTATTCTAAAATTTTTCATTTTTCACTACAATCTTTAATATATATATATATATATATATATATATATATATATATATATATATATTCACCCATTTTATTAACGTAATTTCTAAAAATTTTAATTTTAATATTTAAAGATGGATTTCAAAATTAATTAATTTATTTTTAGTAGAGTCCAGAGATATTTATAATAATATATATGTTTTTAATATTTAAAAAATATATAGTTTAATTTTTAGGAGGACTATATTGAACCAATAAATTTGAACTTTTAATTTCTAATTTCGTCCATTTGGGTTCCAAATTTAAATAAATTATACAAACTTCACTATGACAACATTAATTACACAAAAATGTTCTAATAATTCCATAATTGATTTTATAACGTCTTTAGCTCACAAATTATAAAATAAAACTTTTATTCTTTTTGTTTTCTATTTTTACTATAAAACGCTAAAAAAAAAAATGGCATAAATACGTAACCACCACAAATTATGAACAAATTTACCTTTTTACGGAGTTACTAAATCTGGAACGTTCCACTATTACCACAGTAATTAATCCAAAAACACTATAAAACTACTTGGATTCATACACGGAAGAGATCAAGAACTCGAGGAAGAAAAGAAATAAGGCATTAGAATTGAAAGAATGAATTTTTTCAACAACTATTGCCTCATTTCTTGTCTCCTAGTGATAATGTCGATGATGGGTAATCCCGTTTCCGCGGGGTCAAAGACCATGCCGCCGCTTAGTCGATGGAAGGTCGTGATTTTTAATCAATTGAATCCCGGACAAACTTTATTAGCTCACTGTAAATCAAAGGAGGATGATTTGGGTGATCATTTACTCCAAGTGGGTGAACAATACTCGTGGGAATTCAAAGAGAATGTCATCTCAACGACTCGTTTTTGGTGTACTTTCACAACGTCATTAAATAAACGTATCGTCATGGACGTGTTTTGGCCAGAGACTCATCCTTGGCTTGCTTATAGATGCAACGACTACTCTTGTGTTTGGGTTGCTCAAGATGATGGCATGTATTTGACCAACATTCCCGAGGGTAAAAGAGAGCTTGTGCGTAAATGGGATACCTAGACGAATGTGGACGGGAAATATTGTCATATTTAATTTCATGTACTCATCCCGTCTTATTATTAATAAAACTTAAGCAAAACAGGGAAAGACCAAATAATTCATTTAACGTTAATATAAAGTAAATAAAATATTAAATATTTATTTATTTATTTATTTATATATATATATGACCGAGGCAAAAAATTGGAGCGAAAACCCGGCATCTGTTAAGACAGGACAATGGGAATGGAAGGATAGTCTTCCCATAAACCCTAGACTTATCGCCTTCCCTCTCCCTCGTTTGCGCGGTTGTTTTCTTCGAGGGGGCTCTTCGCCCTCTCTCTTCGAATTATTTGTCTCCGTTTCACGTCGTTCATCTGTTCTATCTCTAGGCTTCCGAAGCTCTCCAGTCGATCTGTGTAAGTTCTTTCTTTCTTTCTAACTTATTATTATCATCTCCGCCGTTGGGAGTGGGCTGGGGGTTCACTGAGATTCGAGGTGCTCTAGATTTTGATGCTGTCTTCTATTGATTTCACTCGACTCGATTTGACCAAACTTATAGATTTCGTCTGTTCTTCGTTTGATTTTGCCTATTCTGTTTCATTATTTCTTATCGCTTATAGATTTGAGGTCATGAGACCGATGTTTGATTATACCCTAATAACTTTTGCTTGAATTTGTTTGATTCTTTTTGATCTTTTATCTCTTGTTATTTTCATTTCGAGATTTTTCAACTTTCTTGTTGACAGCTTCTCCGAGAAACATCTGTGGATTCCGACTTTTTCTTGAAGTCGATAGTTTCAGCCCGTTCCATTCTTAGTAGATACTCTTTTTTGTTGAGCACGAAATTTCTTGTCTCTTTGTGTAAGTGCTTATGTTTCCACCGAACATTATAGATTTTCTGGAACGCGGTTTTTTATGCGGACATGTTCTATTATTATTTGTTGATACGTTATGGCGGCCCTTTCGTTTGGTCCCATGTTGGTGGGTTTATGAGATACTATAATATCACGTTGTTTTTTGGTTAGTCATTTAGTAGGTTTCGTGTCTCTTTTAAGACTGAACTTTATTTTCTATTCAGGCTCTCTGGAGGTTTAATTTCGAGATGAGTAGTTCTTACATCATTCCTCATCTGCTTGAGGGATGCCACTTTTCTGGTGTTCTTGGTTGCTTTTAAAAAGATTAATTATCTAGCTCTCTTCGGGTATTGGATTTCTTGCCATTTCTTTGGGTCAAAATGATTGCCACTGAAACCATTGTATCGAGCAAAAAGCTGAAAATTAAATTTGCTGGTAAACGAGTAGAAGATCATCCGGGTTCACAATCCTGTGATTTTGGGAAGCTTGTAGGCCAGAAATTGTCATTCAAGGGCACAAATGGGTTGAAAGTGGATGACACATTCAACCATTCGTTAAATGCTCTCTGTAATGGTAAGACCTTTGCTGCTGCTTGTTCCAAGTCAAAATCTTCCATCACTATCACTGATAAGCGCAGAGCAACTGAGGATATAGAATCTCCTAGAGAGAAGAAGCAGAAGTTGGATCGTAGTACAACACAACAATGCTCTTCAATTTTAAAATCACTTATGTCCCATCCATTCGGTTGGGTTTTCAACCAGCCCGTGGATCCTGTGGCATTGCAAATTCCTGATTACTTCTCAATCATCACTGATCCTATGGATTTGGGAACTGTCAAATCCAAACTAGAGAGAAATATGTATCGGGCTAGTGAAGAATTTGCAGCTGATATTAGACTGACATTTTCTAATGCCATGCTTTACAATCCTCCTGGTAACCATGTTCATAAGATAGCAAAGGAACTTCACGAAGTTTTTGAGAAGAAATGGAAACTGCCAAAGGAAAAATGGTTTGGTGGAAAATCAGATTTTCAGCGAGAAAAACTTTCAAGTGGACCAACAGGAGAAAAGGTTTCTCGAACTCCATCATCTCACAATACTTTATTGAAGAAGAAGTCAACAGGATCTGAAGAGAAAGTTAGCAAGCCGTCTTCAAATGCAAATGGTGCTGAGGCAAGTGATATTCATGCATTTTGTTTACGTTCCGAAAGTTTATTTTCAAGTTGTATTGTTGACGATACACTAGAATCTGTATAATGAATATTTTCTCATTTGGTTTGCTTGATTATATAACATCCACAGTTATTAGGCAGCATTCTTATCTTGCATGATGGATTACATTTTCTCATTAACATGTCCAGGTTGATCGTGCTAGAACACTTCCAACTTGTGCACCCAAGCCTTCCAGGAAGAACTTCCATACAGGTATGAAGTGGCAGATTACGGTTCTGCTATATGGCCCTGAGAAGGAGCTAATTAGTCATGTATCTGATAGTTACAGAAACTGGCAGTAAACATGCTTCTAGCTCCTTTGAGAAACAAACACCAAGACATAAGTGTACAGGATGTGGAAGCACGCCATTTCTGTGCGGCTCTTCTTCCAATTTAGGCCATGCACCCTCTGGTGGTTAGTTGACTGTTCTATTCCTTTCATGTGTTCATTCTGGTAATTGTCTAAAAAAATTAATTTCTGCTTAATTTAGATCAATCTAATTAGAGATTATTGTCAGGAGAAAATCCAGATGTCAATGATCCTTGCAGACTGGTATGATACTACTGCAGAGTTGTCATGAAACATTCACAAATTTTGTTTTCACTTATGTAATTTAAATATTAATTTAGGACTCTCAAACAAGGAGCTTGTCAGCTTCCCAGATGTCCAAGTCGGATACAGACTCTGATGGTCAGTTCACATACATATTTGTTGCGAAAACTTTATTGTAGTGATATCCTTCTCATCTGAGAATGCTCATACTACTGGGAATGATGTGAAGGGATTAGAAGTGTTTTGGAGGATGAAGGAAAACCTCCTTGTGATCAGCCTTTGACCCTTGGGGCAAATGCTACTTCCGAAGGTTGTTTTTTCTGTTAGTGCAGTAGATAGACCTATCTTTTTCTTTATCACGTATATCATACTAACTTTGTCTCTTCTAACTTGTTGCAGCGTTCTCTACCCCAATTTTTGATGTACAACTTTCACCGAAAAAGGCTCTTCGTGCTGCAATGCTGAAGAGTCGATTTGCTGAAACTATTTTGAAAGCACAACAGAAGGCACTTCCTGATCATGTAAGCTCCCTAATTCATTAAAAAGATGTTATGAGCATTTTGCTATTAGACTATAGTGGTTTTACAGTAATAGTTTCTGCATCATTGATAGGGCGATAAAGTTGACCAAATGAAGATCCAACAGGAGAAGGAGAGGTTAGAAAGGAGGCAGCGTGAAGGTAAAAGCAACATCGTGTGCAATATTGCCGTGAATGCTATTTTTGTTGCTTATTGAACTGCAAACAGAATTTATTTGATAAAAAAAACTATCTTGTTGGATGATTAATGAATTTTAATGAAAGTCGAACTATGGGTAGCCCTCCAAGTAAATTTCTGTAAAGAGTAAATGGAAGAAACGCCTTTCCTCTCCCCTGCCTATCACATTTTTAGACTGACCATAAGAGTACACACTTGGTTTGAATTACGGTTGCTCTAATATTCATGTGATGTTTTTTCTTTTTAAATAAATAGCTTCCCATGAAAATATTGATTGAATTATGAATTTGGTTCATGGAGATTTTTTTATCTTTGACTAAATCATAGGCATTAAATTAAAGCCCCTCTTAAATTCGTACCAACCAAATTATAGTCTAGTCTAAATTATAGGATGGAAATAAACACTCTCCCTAACATAATTAATTAAGTGAAACCAAAACACTGCTCATTTTACTTCCATCTTTTCTATATTAAAACTTTTGATACTGTAAGGAGATTAATGTCCTGCGGACCAAATTCATAATTTTCCCTAAAAAATATCTCATGCATCGCTATGGGCATATGTACTTATTGATTGTGCATTTCCTCTTGTGAATCATGTAGAGAGAGAACGTATAGAAGCAGAAATAAAGGCTGCTGACATGGCCGTGCGATTAAAAGCAGAGGCTGAGAAGCAGCAGCAGAGAGAAAGAGACAGAGAGGCTGCCCGTATTGCTATTCAGAAGGTTATTCATCGACTATGTGTAACTACTTTTATCATATATTCTGTTCTCTAGCTATCGCAAGTATCCTTGACCAGTTCCTTCTGTCATTTAGATCCAAAGAACTGTTGAACTGGATCAGAATCTTGAGATGCTGAAGGAGCTGAAAAAGCTCAGTGGGGGATTCTTATTTGTCCAACATCACCGTGCAATAGTGAAGAGGTCATTCGATGAGAGCCAGTTGGAAAACCCATTAGAACGACTCGGTTTGTTTATGAAGGATGAATTTCTGGATGATGATGAAGAAACCATCTACAATGAAAATGGAGAAGAGAGGGAGAGTTTTTCCAAAAGCTGAAGAGAGAGGGAGACTTTTGTCAAGCTGAGTGTTTTGTCTGCTCGTTTGTAAAATGGCATTCATGTTTGGTTGGGTTAGGATTTAGGACTTCCGAGTACGATAACTTTGAGTAGAGTACAGAAGTTGAATGTATAGCCCAAAGTTCTATGGATGGGAAACTGAAAAGCAAAAACAGTATCTCCAAAAAAAAAAAAAAAAAAAAAAAAAAAAAAAAAA